GGTCTCGCCAGCCATGCTTAATCGTGGTGGTCCCGGCTACGCTTGGGCGAAAAAACGAAATGACCGCCACGCTTAGGCAAAATAGGCAAAGATTGCACCACGCTTAAAATGTTATAAGCGCCAAGCGAAAAAAAATATGGACTAAGTATATTTTATTCAAAACTTTAAAAGAGAACTGGCAAAATGATTTTTTGTTGTAGAGTGGATTTTTGATATGCCATTAATAATAGAATCAACCTTAAAATCGTTCTTTGGCTATATTTTATGAATTTATAGGCGATTATATACGATTTTACCATGACGTCATTGGCGAAAAAGTAACAAATGATCGTGTAAATATCGCCGCGTAGGGTATCCATCGCGTAGGGTATCCGCCGCGTACGATCTTTGCGTGCATGCTGTAACAATCCCAATTTACAGCCACGGTTGTATATATACATGAAAATATTGTAACAATTGTGATTTATTAGTCCGTCAATTGTGGGTATTCATTGCTATAATATTTTTTTTCTAATTATACCATATGCTTTATAATCATTTTGGGGATTCCTTAGTAACAGAGGTTACAAATTCATCCTTTAATTATACAGTAGTCACTTTATATTAAAAACATGAAAAATGTCCCAACAGGGAATTATTTTTTATTGCTACATGGTAGTACTATGGAAATGAAATATAGGAATTAAAAATGTTAAATATATAATATCTGTCTCTTATCCACATCTAGATGTGTTATATATATGCATATATATGTATATACACATCTCATGTTCAAGAGCTAGACAAAAATAGGCTATAAAACTTTGTTTAGAGCATTGCTTTGGCTTTTTTTTCAACTTTGCGTAAAATATAAATGGTTCTGTTTTGAAATTTCAATTTTTGTATGCAGGTCTCCGTTTTCAAATATAAAAAACAGCACTACCACCACCATTCTTTCATATAAATTATCCTATCTAACAATCATTCATTTGTTTTAAGATAAAAAAAAAAGGCAATAAAAATCAACCAAGACTACAATAGCTAGGTGCCAGCAGCTTAAAAGCAAAATAATATATAACAATAAAAATAGACGGTTGGAAGCGACGATCGTAGAAAAACGGTTAAGCAAGCCAAGGACTTCGCTAACTTACATCAAAGAGTATAAATAGAACAAGAGAGCCAACAACGCTCATTGAGAGTGTAAAAAAACGATACGCCCATACTCAGCCAGTGTAGGACGCCAACTAACGCTTGTATGTTTTTTTATTACCATAGAGGTATAATATGAATACTAGAGCGCTAACCGCAATGTATTCGATGTTCGAAATACGCAGAACTGTGTGTGTGTACCATCCATAGAGCTATTAAACAACTAGAGTGCTGACAAGATGGCGGAGCAATGCAGAGTTGTGTATGTGTACCATCCAAGATGGCTGCCGTAGAAAAGCGCCACCTTCAGGCTTAGTATACATATTATTACC